CTCTTCAGAGCATTTGTTCAAATGTGCCAACATTTTATTCCAATTAAGGCAAGATGTAACAGCCTAAACATAAACTTCCAGTTATGGAGTAAGAACTACTCAAAACTAAACAGGAGTGGCCATTACAAAGGAAAATACATACTTCAAATATAAAGAGTATCAAGAAAAAGTAACACGAAATCAAGACAAAACATTCCAGCTCTACAAACTATGAAGTGCAAAGAAATGTGTATTTTTCTAGTACTAATGTAACTTTTTTTTTTTCCACCTATCAGTCTTCAGCTCTACTCTGGAAAAGTCTCTTTAAAAATGCAGCACAACTTCACAGGATTTTTGCTTCTCAAGTTTTGTACTCTCAGTGTGACTTGTACATCAAGCTAGACACATCTTGCCGAGTGCTTCCCAAGGTGTCCTAAAAAAATCTGTAGGATAAATTCTCCTTCCAATGCACACATGCAACTAAATGGTTTTCAGTGGAAGGCATGCAGATGCGAGCGAGGACAATATGCAGACCAACATTTGGATCTGAACTACCAATCCTATTGGTACAAGCTGTCACAGGCTGAGCTTGTTCTGCCCTCCCTGAATTAGTGTCAAGACACACAGAAGAAAATTTTTAGCCCTCCTTCTGACATAAGCTGCATTTCGAGGGACATTCACTCTAACAGAGAGACCTAGACTTTTCAAGCATTGAAGTGCACTCACATTAAAACACTGCAAAACTGCAGTGAATCTTCATTAGCATTGCCCAAAACTTTCACACTTAATTTCTGCTTCCTCAATATTTAAGACCTACAGGAAGCAGAGTATATGAATGACAGCAGAATAGAACCCCAGGGTTTTCCCTCCATTTTTAAAATAAAATATAACAGAAAGAGGGAAAAGATGCTTCCTCTCCCAAAATGGAACTGGATTTTTATTTCTGCATTTAAGCAATTTAAAGCTGCTACTTTTCTCTAGGCAGTCCTGGAGAAACTCTACAGCCACAGTAAACTGCTTTGGGGAGTCTCACTGATGAGAGATGTTCCTCGCTCATACAGATCAGCATTGCAGGTCGTGAAGGACTTGCACAGAAGCAGGGATGTGTTATGGAACCAGCTTGAGTGTGGGCAGGAGCAGACCCCAAGATTTTCTCTTTTTTAGTGCACTGTCACAGGTGGTCTTGGAGACCTCGTTACTGTCCTTTACCTTCTGACAGGCAGGTATCATCCTTTTCCTTTTAATCCCTTTTCAGCTTTATGTCCACATTCAGAAAACACCACATGTTTTTTAAACCCATCTATTTCTTTGCTGATGCAAAAATATGGTCCACAACATATTCCCACCTCAAAGTCACAAAGGTTCTTCACCCTGACATTGCAAAGCTCTTTTTTTTTTCAAGAACTGGCACCTGTTAACAAAGAACTGCTAGGTAAGGCATGAATGGGAAACGCCCATTTCTTCCTTGAATTGAAAAATTGTTATAAGCGGGAAAGAGGAGAATTGAGTTAAAAAAGAACTTCAGCTACCTACTGCCATCCACATCACACAACTGGTGTGGCTCAAGTACATACTAGCTTCCTTGTGTTATCCATCTGATGTGTTCTCAAGCCGTCAACACACAACAGCGTCAGCTGCCTCAATTCTTGCAAAGTTACAATCTCTGTAAATGGCTTCTTTTTAAGGTAACACCGTAACCCTGCTGTCAGCGGTCTCATTTAAAGGCAATGACTTCAACACTTGGTAGGAACATGCACTCTTGGGTGATCAATCTGCTTATGTATTTATGCATGGGCATAACAGTGAGTGATTCTGGGGTAGCCAACATCTTGCCAACCACTCCTTTGGGTGCAGAAGCGACACAGAGACCTTCTGCCGCTGCTCTCCAACCACTATACGTGAAGCCTGTTGCAAACCACTGCAGGAACAGTCCGTTGCAAAGGGTAAGTGAGATTCCGCGTACTGCTCCAAAGTGTTCTTATTTAACGTTATGAGTTCAGCACCTAAGCAATTCACTTTTTCTAAAACCAAGATTTCCTTTCCTGAGTCATATGCCCAGTCACCGGCAGGACGATGTGTTAGATTCTGGTAGAGAATATTTTGTAGTATTGAGGTGTACCCCACCTTTCAAATTGAGTGTATGAAAAATCATTGTAAAATGTCATGTAGCTCCAAAGATAATTATATGAAGTAGGCTAGGGGTCAACATCTTGGCCATGAAAAAGAATGCAATCCAACCAAGCTAAAAATTATGTAGCTCTCGTCTTGCCAAGTTCTTCTACATGCCAAACTAAACACAGACTAAACACGAATGTCAATGAAAATTGTGAAGAAAGGGAAGAGCTTGAGGATTCCACAAACCAGATGGTTTAGTGATGGAAATGGATGTAACTGTTGGTAACAGCTTTCTGTGTCTGTACTAGCTTCTTATATGATTAGTGTTTTCAGAAACTGGTGTATTCAATAGCAGATACTTAAAATTGGGATACTTTAAGTTTCAGAAAAAAAAGGTTTGTGTTTCTTCCTCCCTCTCCTTTTTAATAGGGCAATAAAAAAAAACTGGCAAAAGAGCTCAAGCACAAACTTGCAGATTTCTCCCCCCTGAATTCCCAAGAGGAAACGTACATTTTGGCACAAGCATTCCATGGAGTCCTTTTCTGTACCACATGGAAAGACCCAGCTTTTCCTGGAGCTACAGAAAGTAAAGTGTGGGTCTCTCTTGTTAAGACCATCCTTGGAACTGCTGCCTTAGGTGTTACTTTTTTTACTGTATCATTTTCTGTAAGCTGTGGATCAGGTCACTAGTCAGTTTGAGAATACAACCTCCAAACGCAGCTTTCTGACTTCTCATATTTTACTGTCCTGCCCCATGAACTTGTAATGTTTTGAAAAGGGATTTTTGCACCAGAGCCTCTTTCATTTACCAGTACATATTTGTTCTTCATAAGAAAAAGGATATTCTTCCAAACGTAAGATGGGATACTATAATAGCATTGCAATCACTAGCAAAACTGAATGAGTAATGGCTTAAGTACCTCTAACTTTCCAAGCTCATATTTCATGTTCTTCCTAAAACAGCTGGAACCAGCAGCTAGACAACAAACTTACCTTCTACAAGCCCACATTTTCCTGAAGTCTCAGTAACGTGCTAATATTATAAGCACCAGCCTCTGACCTCACCGTAAAATTAAGGATGTGGGCTATGAAAGATATGGTTTTAATGGGAATGTTTAGGAACAGTCAGTCCTCACCACTGTCAAAAAGACCAAATGAACACTGCCTGATACACTCTTCATTCTGCAAAATCTGACATTTTTCAGAAGTATTGGCAACATTCATGTTTACAAACTTGGCAGAAAATCAGTATTTTATTTTTTTCCTAGGAGTGATTATCAAAGAAAAAGCTTAAAAAATTCAAAACATAATAACCTGTTGGTACTGCTGTTCACAACCATGCTGCTGTTCTGACTCCATTCAAATCTCAACCAGTGCCCATGAGGGCTTTAAGTATTGGCCAGGGAAGTGGAAATTAGTTTAGACTGCTTCGCTACACTAAGTCCCTCTGAACAATTTCATACAGCCTTTTGATGACCACAGATAAACAGAAAAACAACTGAGCTTCCTAATAAAGAGGCGAAACATACTGCCTTTCTTCCCACTTCAGTGGGCAGCTGGTTGGTTCCTAGTTTTGGCTTTGGAAATCAATATTATGTACACGCTTCCTAAATGTCCTTACCAGTGACATTTCTACCCCAGTAAGGGAGGCAAATGCATACCTACCCTGATCAACTGCCCAATGATCTCTTGAGTAGACTACTGTTCATTAGACCTTTTACAACTACCATCTGCTAGTGTTTGAAATACTCACACTGTAGCACCAAATAGTTTTGCTTTTCGTTTTTCTAGGGCAAGGCTCCTGAGCCTCCTCACGAATGCTGAGCTTACCCTTTTCTCTCTCTGTGCCAGTTTGTTAGCTTTAGTTTAGTCTGATCTGAAAATAAACACACTCCAACAAATCATGACTTAAGTAAAATTTCCGCATGTATTATGTCAGTTACAGTTATGCAATGGCCAAATATTAGTAAATTCGTAGGTAATATTAAATTAAAACTCTAGAAAAAACAGCAACAAACAGTTCCATGGCATGTACCATTCCTACCATGGGGATAATGCTTACCCTTTGTCCAAAGGGATGGTGGAAACAAGTATAAATATAGAAACTGTCTCAAAACCGCAAATCTAAGCCTATGTTAATGCTCTAAACTGTCACTGACTTTCACTAAAATTATTCAGATCCAAACATAAGCAATGATTTAGGACATCAATTTATAATGTAATGCTGGTGACCCTGTACCAGTCAGGCTGGATTGGTTTCTGTCCACAAAGCAAACAACAGAGTGGCAATATTTTATCGCTGGTCTTGTAAGAGCTTATAATATGTAAATGTATTTTTAAAGATATACATACACATTTTCCCAAACTCAACTGTGTCTGAGTAGTCCTCTCCTAGTTTTCAATAATTTTGAAACAAATAAACACCAAGCCCTTTCGGTTTGAATGTTTTGCTTTGTTTTCCCAGCCTGAATGAGTCTACAGATATTTTCTTAGTTATACAAGGCCGATGTTTCACTTTGCAAACATTAAAGATGAAGGAACACTTGAAGCTTCAGCACCAGAAGGAAAACAAGGAAGAGTGCAGAGGGTAGCTCCATTTGGAAGCACAGAGCTATAACAATTATTGTTCCAGTTTGTTACAGGTAGCTCATAAAGACTTTTATTCTAAACAGTCCCATTGTTTCTGACAACCAAAGTGATCCTTATGTGGGATCACACACCTTCAAAACCTTTGAGCCAATACAGTTTGTAATCTTGCAGAAGAGCAACACAAACCAGTTTCCCATAAACACTGGAGAGATCAGAATACTTGTAAGCTCTTGCAAAATGTCATCTCAGTTTATTCAAACCTTCGTCTACTTCCTTAGAAAAAAAAAGAGTCCACCGTACTTGGAGTTTCTTCCTGTGATTTTTTTCATTGCTGGAGTGTTGACTTCTTGACCTAAGGTTTTATTTATTTGTTAGGCTGAATGAGGGTAAGGAGAGAAGAGGAGCACCGTAATATTAGCAGATTAATTAATATTACTTGTGATGACACTGATGATTTCCCCTGTTTGGCCCCCATCTCTCCCTACTATCCTCATTTTGCTGCCTTTTTCATTTTTTCCAGAGTGCTGTCAACAGAGCTGTGAAAGTTCATTCTTTTGAGAGAACAACATTGCTGATTTCTTCTAAGTCTTTGCTTCCATAGGAAGCAGATACCTGGCAGATTTGCAAGGGAATGCTAAATCAACTATGGAAGTTCTGCACTGTTGTCTGTTTCTGAGAAAGTCGTAGAAGTTCTTCTCTAATTGCTTTGATAAGAGAGGCTGAAGAGTGACCTGGCTGGAGGTCCTCAGTGGAACTGGTGGTGTAGCAAAGGCCCTGGGCCTGAAGGCTGTTGTGCTGAAGCTGAGCAGGGGGTGCCGAAGGCTGCCTGGCTGAAGTCCTCGGCATCTGGAATACTGGTGAGGAGGAATATTCTTGGTGTCCATGCGTATGCGTCTGGAAAAAGGCAGAGAGCATTATTGTACCTTCTGAACAAACACGGTAATCCCAGAAAAGACAAGAAAGCAAAAAGGCAGAGAACAGAGGGAAAGCAGCATGGAGATGCTTCTATCTGCTGCCACTCTTCTGTTGTGTGAATGAGTGATTCCTCTTATGGAACACAAAACAACAACTGTACACAAAATTCCCAGACTGCCTCAAGGTCAGGGATTTCCAAAATTTCTTTGAGCATCCATTAAATGTCTGATCTCCTTTCCAACCTACGGTATGTTTAGAAACTGAAGTGGAAGGAGGTGGGGAGAAAATCCACAGAACTGGAAGTCGATAGAATTGGCTTCTCTTTCCTTGCCTTTCCATCAACTTCTTAAAAGATAACAGGAAAATCACTTTCTTCCCGACTGTCATTTCTCCATACCATTTATAAATAGAGACACTACTACTCTTGCCTTCTGCTGCTCTGCCTGGCTTGCCTGTTCAGACTGTATTTGTGAGGACCCTGTGACTGAGCAGCGCCCAGAAGAACAGTCAACAGAAGAAGCAGCACAAGAAAATCATTCGAATCAGAAAGATTAGATCTTATTCTAAACTCAACAGCTGAGAAACAGCTGAGAAACACTATCCCTGTTTAGGGATGATTATTGTTTGAGGGCAGAAAGGGGTTAATTCTGCATTTGTACAGTAACATACGCTTTCTAACGAAACAACAGAGAAACAAAACAGAAGCCTCATTTTAGGGGCTTGTCTATCCAGGAAAAAAAAATCTGGTTACACTAAAACAAAGCACCAATTTACAGTACACTAAGCAGCAGCACTGACTCCCGGTGTGGACACAAACAAGGTACATTTTGAAAAACCTAAATTCCAAATGACATCCCTACAGCAGGCATTTCCTACTGCCTCATGCTGCTGAAGGCTGAGAGGCAGCCGAAGAAAACACTGGATGCAAAGGACTCGAACACACCCTGCCAAAGGCACAATTGGAAGAAAAGCAGCGTAATCTCCTCTCAAAAGGGTCTGCGCTGGGGATGAGGAGCAGATCGCTGCAGCAAGTTCAAATCACAGTCATCATGATGTAGTGAGCATGATCTTTCTCTGTGGATAAAGCTTTAAGTAGTAGCAGAGAGAGCAATCTGATGAGGGAAGAAAGGACAGCAAGGTCAGCTACCAGGATTTGGGGGGAGGAGGAGGAGGGGAATGAAGGGATTACAAAGCAGAACCTAGGAAGGATATGAGGGAGCTGGAGTGACAGTGGCAGCAGTGTGTGGGGAACACAAAAATGCATGAGAGTAGGCTCCTTAACATCTCTCATAACAGAAATGAATAAAATCTAAGCCATTTTGTTTAAAGTAGAATGAATAATAAGATACTGACTCTCTTGCGCAACTCATGTACAGCACTCCTTGGTTGCACAGTTTATTTGGGGAGAGAGATTAAGCAGAAAAGATGCTTTAATAGAAGAATGATAGGTAAAGAAGGTTTTCCAAGTAACATCCTGTCTTACTTCTTGGAAAGGAAGAATGGGTCTCTTGATTGCTCAGAATTATTCATTTGGCAGTGAAACCTGAAATCAATTCATATGTGCAGCCTAGAGTTAGAACCCTGACAAGTACTCTGTGGGTTTATAGAAAAGAAGCGACTTAAAAAATATAAAGAGCAATTATTCCTTGACACGAGTCTTAACAGCAACCTAAATTATGTTCAAGTTACTTTCACATTAAAATACATTATGTGATGCAACTCCTATCTCATACTGCACTGAGTTAGTACCATAAGAAAGGTTTCTTAAGGCAAGTTAAGAATGACATCTGATGATGATAGTGACTGGTTTTTTGAGCATTAAGGATATTGAAGTTTTCTGAAATAGCTCAAAAAACCCAGAAGTGTGTATTTCTGTGATCTCATCTAAAACAGCACAATTACATAAGTCTGAGAACTTTCAAAACCAGATTCGTTTAGAAACCTAACCTATACTAAACTAAAATAGCAAAATAAAGAGTAAAAAGGTTGGAAGAAATTTTGCTGGTTTTTTTTTCTAGTTTTAACTTTACTAACAAAAATACACTTCATATATATGCTACAATACATAGTTTTAAATAGTATCTAGAAATTATATATTTTTACATAGAAACTTCCATATAATTAACAGCAGTAGAAAATAATTGACAAAATATCTTTACTAAATCTTCCTTCTTAAGGAATGAAGATTTATGACATGACACTGTGAACATATTAGTCTCCATTTAATAACTGTTGAATCTGTGGTCAATTTCAACTTCATTTAACATATAAATATATATACACATGTACATGTATATATACGAACAGTTATATGTTATAAAATTAATAAAAACAGGTAGCTAATCAGACATAATCTGATTTATGCTGTCAATGAATCTGCTTCTGAGTGGCAGAAAGGCCAAGTTAAGACTGTGCTCAGCTACACCTACCAACCAGCATGTATCTCACAAGGGATAGCTAGGGGATGGGAAAGACAACTCGAAGTATGGTGAGATCGTTTAGAGACACTATGGTGGGCAGCCAGAGTATAAAAATAGAATAAAAGGATAAGGGTGGCTTGGGAGAAACATTGGAAATCTGAAGAAGATCTAGGAGAACAGTGGAGAGCTGTTAGGAGATCATCGATGGGCAGGAGGTGACGCCAGGTGGTGGCAGTGAGGTAGAGGTATGCAAGACACTGCATATCTGTAAGAAACTAAGCTTCACTTGTTCTGCTGCACAAATGATCACTTGCTCAGTATTGTATTTTGTGTCACCTAAGGAAATGCTGTAATTGGCTGCCTAGGTCTTTCTAGATAGAGAATTAGAGTGAACTGATGGCGACCTGCACACAGGCTTTGTGTCAGGAGATACAAGTGAGTGGTCATATTCCAGAGGAAAAACAGGTATGGGCTGCAGGAGTAATAAGTGTGGATACTGTAAGGAAAAGGGCCATTGTAGGAACACAAATACAGATCCCTCCAGAGTTTGTGGGTGAGAAGAGCACTGTAGATCTAAAGCAGAGTTTGACTTCAGAAACTCGCTCAGAATGAGGTAACAGTAAGACTGTTTGCAAAGGATCAGTTGAATACTGCGCCATAAGGAACATGTCAGTCCATTAAGTAAAACAGTCTTTCCAAAAGGAGAAAATACAAATTTAGAGCTCTGTCCTAGTGAAAGAATTCAAACTCTGAGAGTAATTATTTAACTGTAGGAAACTAAAAGACTAGGGCTCATCTAATAATGCTCTTTTTTTTTCAAATGGGAATAATCCTTTGCAAAAAAAAAGAAGACAGAATTCCTCCTAGGAAAATGAAAGTGTAGGCATCAGGTGAGACATCATACTCAGTTTTAGTCCATGGTCTCGTCCTTTTACTTCAGTTTGCAAATAAACTGAAAAAAAACCCCAAGTATCACATTTCAGTAACATAGGAACTGCAGCATCCATTGAGCAAAAAGTTCTGTCAGCGCTGAAGAAATGTTTAAACTCTGATTAATTAAAAAAAAAGTCAACCTGAATTGAGGTGACATGTACCCATCTGAAATGGTGACTGAAGGTGCAAACTGTGGCCAAATCATAATGTATTAGGCCATGAATCTTTGAAAGTTGCACAGGTAACAGATGCCAAAACGAACTGTTTTCACAGCATCTCAGATAATGGGTTCATAACCAAATTTTCTGTAACGTTAGCAGCTTAAGTAATAAAAATATTAAGAAAATAACGGCTGAACATTTTCATGGGTTTGAGTCTGGTGGGATTTTTTTTGTAAAAGCCGGGGTAGACGTGCAAAACTTTGAGAGCCTCCCCCACCTCCACGTAGGAGTGGGACCTGCCTCTGGCCAGGGCCAGGCCAAGCAGCGCTTCTGCCATCAAGGTATTTAAGAGACGACCTCATTGTTCTCTCTCTTTTGGTTCCATCTAGTTTTGAGCTGTTCTGTCTTTAATGTTGAGGAGTTTTTCTGATGGAGGAGGGGGAGGTGAGAGGAGAACAAAGGAACTGAGAAGAAAGGGGGAAAAGAGTCCCAGAGGAGAAGGACAGGGAGAAGGCTGCAATGCAGGACCTTTCCCTGGAGCTCCGTGCTGGCTGAGATGGCAGGAAGGTGATTGCCTCCCAGTTGAGGGAATCGATGGTGGCGAGGACGTCCAAGATGCATCGGTATGTGCAGAGCCCCATATGAGAGCGGAGAGAGACTGTGCATCTGTGGGCGACACACTGGAAGTGAACCGTGGCTCTGAAGGAATCATGGGGAGGAAGAAGGTTGTCTCCTGTGAGGTGGACACCATGCAGCAAGGAGAGACTGCGAGGAGCCCTCTTTCTCAAGGAGGAGCTGCCATGGATAATAAGTAATTGCCAGATGGACCGCACCCTCCATTCCCTTGCTCTGATTTGGGGGGAAGGAGGTAGCTGCTAAGATGGGAGGGGTGGGGGAGGCGAAGTGTACTTAGGATCGGGTCATATTTATTGATGTATTCCTCTCACTATCCTACTTCGTAAATGGTGGTGGTGAATTAAACCCAGGTTTTTCTCTCCAAGTCACTCTGGTTCTTTACCCATCATCTTAAATGGTAGATTATTACCCTCCCTATCCTTAATCTCAAACCCTTGAGCCTTTTTAGCTGAATTTTTCTCCCTACACATCACTGTGGAAATGGGGGTGGGGAAACAAATGAGCTGGAGACCATGTTTTTTAGTCTCAGTCGGTTTGCACTTGTGGGAAAGATCTATAAAAGAAAAGTCATTTTCAGAAACGACAAATGATAAGAAGGGGCAATGAAAAGTAGCACAGAGGTGCCTTGGAAAATTGAACATGAGAGACACTAAGATTTCTTGTGCAAGTGCTCTTCTAGAATGTAAACTGAAATTATGATGTTCTTGCACTCAAATGTCACAGTTCCAAGAACATACAGGAAATTAAATTGGACAATAAATCTTTCAGCTTTGACAGTTATCTCTTTGAGTAGTATCAGTAGAGTTTGTCTTTAGCGTGTCCAGCTCTTAAAAGCTTTGTGATGCTCCTCTCTCAAGCTCATTTGGAATGGCGGCATTTCCTTTTTGCAAAACCATTTAGAGATTATGCAGTACTGCAAAGCACGTTCAAGTAGAGTGAACACATGCTGCCCTAAGTATGGAAAAGAAGGAGATCCTTCCTGCCTCCCTCGAAGAAGAAACCAGAAAAGCGGTAGTTTAAGCAAAGAAGCACAAAGTTGTCACTCTCAAGAGTACTACAATAAAACTGTCACAGGTCAGTCTGCTTCAGGATGCAAGTACATCAAACGTGGACTGGTAGCAGGCAACAGTATCTTTCCTGGAAAGACCATGTAATTTCTTAACCTCACATATCTGGCTGAATGAGAAACATCAGGCTCTAGAAGCACCACTGCCAAGAACATGAAATCACAATGGCTGCCTAGGCAACACTGCAAACATATTAATTTATCACATCCTGCCGACTGAGGTGAGGAAAAACTTGTGTAGAAACATCTCTACTGTTATGTGCAAGTATGTACTTTATCCCTTTGCCCTGACTCATGCTGTTGTGCACTGACACAGAAGACAAAAGAATATACCAATACAAAGTAGGACAGTAGTCTGGGACAATTTAGTTCAATGTTTTCTACTTACAATGATCTCAAAATACAGAGGCATATTTCAAAGAAGAAAATGGAAAGCAGTATCCACCTCTGCTGGAGCTCAAAAGCAGAACTGGGTGAACTGCAATTAATGGGTGAAGGCCTCAAGTGAGAGAAAAAAAAAAAAGGTTAGGGTAAAGAGAGAGAAAGCAGTTAGAGAGAAGCATAGGTGAAAGAATAGCAAGCAAAAGTTAGAAGAGCTAACAGGGGTTCGAAGAGCAAAGCAAAGAATGTCAGAGAAGCAACTGAAAGTATTCCAGGTGGAAAAAGTTCCAAACAATAATGCAGGAAAAAAAATACCCGAACATGTCACTACTTCAGAAACTATGCAAATGTGTAACACAGTACTCACTGCATCTCGCCTAGCACATTCATCCTCTCCACGGTACTGGGGCCACCCTGGCCCCCCCGGCTGGCCATGCCCTGCTCTGCCTGAGGGGATCTCCACTTGTTGACCTCCGATCCTGCTAGCAATTCCCACCTGAGTGAGGTGCTGTATCTGAGAACCTTAAAAGCAAATATTGTTTGTTCATCTTTATACACAGGCAAGTTTGTAGGGCAGACAAATGACAACATAAAACTTTGTTGGAAGCAGGAGATAAGAAGAAAGTAGAGCTCTGTTTCTGTGCAATTAATAAAAAAAACAGCAGAAAGAAGGCTGTCAGTGTAGAATAAAGACGGAAAAGTTATGTACATTTTGTGCGGTTCATTTGAGTGTGATGCTTTTCATTGCCACTGCACTGAAAGAAGAGTTTGAGATACACGCATCTCGGACATGGACTGCACTTATTTCCAAAAACATGCCAGCCCTTTCCAAACAGCGTTTACCGAAAGCCCTGGCAATGCTTTCATGTAAATTACTTAGCAGCAAAGAGAAGACGTTTGCTCCTGTGACACCCCTTATTTGCATCACACTAGCAAGACCCTAACTCTCCAGACTGCTTTCTATTCCATCTCCCAGAAGAATAAAATACATAACTATGCAAGAATATGGCTTTCTCAGCTTTACTTTGTGGTTAAATATTAAACGATGCTGTCATTGACTAATGAGAAGGTCAGAACACTTTGTGTCCCTTTTCAGCCTGAAAGCTAACCTCCTCCTTTCTCCTTTCCTTTCCCTCCCACTGCATGCAAGGATAGCCACGACCACTAACTGCAAGAGACATGTAACAACATGCCAGCTTTCCTTTTTCCTGAATTTCCTCCCATGGGGAAACATAATTATTTTTCTTATTAATATAACTTATTATTAATTAGAAATTAAACATATTTAATAAATCCACATATATTCAAGAGAAAATTGTGTGTGTGTGCACGTACAAAAAGGGAGGAAAAGACAAAAACAACAGTGTGATTTACATGATGGACAGTTAGGTCACTTTCATATTTTCCTGTCAAAAATACACAATATTTGACACATTTGATATTAGCATATAATAACGCTGAAGAACAGGAACTAATCATCTGAATTGCCTCCAGACTTTCAATACACATGAACATTTAGAGAACAGTGTGAATCAGATAATAAAATAATCATCATTAAACTTTAACAGTCACTACATCCCTGGCATTCCCACTCATTTAACGTTTACAGGGAGAGGATAGCAGCTATCAAAACCAGGACTCTGACATGAGTATATGATCATATTTCTGGTCTTTTTCAACTCCTCAGGAAGAAATAATTTTTCTGGGAGAAAATTAACTGTGACATTTGCGTAAGAATAGAATCTTTTAGTCTTAGAATCAGTATTTGCTTCTTAATTGCCATGTGATGTTAGAATCTTATTTGTGATAGCATGGATGAGTGCTATATAAATCCTCTCACAACCAAATCAGGGAAGGTGATTTCACGTGGGACAGCAGCAATAGATAATATCATCAGAAGGTAAAAGATCCTGCTTTTATGCATACATTTCTAGGAAGAGAAATGAGAAATAAAGATGCAGAAAAGTATTTAGAAAGTTTACTGTTTAGCAAGCTGATTTGGGATGTAGCAGTTAGCTCACTTAGTACAAAAGAAATAGTCAGCAGTGGAAAGTTAGCATATGCTGTACACTAAAACAATTACGTAATTTTCCATTCTTAGAGAATAGGGTTTTTTTGAAAATACGCTGTGTCACAATGAATGCTTGAAAGATCCTAAAAAGTTGGCAAAGCACTGCCTTCTTTTGCAAGGTCCTATAGACGTAAAATTAACCTCAATTTGAAACCACTTTTTTTTTGGTGGTGAAGACAAGGACCACGTTTCAGGCGTAGTAGCTTAAGGAGAATGTTGTCTTAACGGTGACCTCAGTGTAAGAGCAGATACAGAAAGGCATCAGCTATTCTAGTGCATATTCAACTGAAGTGTACCTGCAGTGCTTCCAACTGGCCGTGGCCGTGCCACTGATGGCATTTCCTCTGAGTACATCCCTCTGGAGGAATATTGAACCTCAGGTGGCTGCTGGTCTGGGTGCATTAACTCTGCAGGTTGAAGAAAACCTGGCCCAAAGTTCTGTCTGTGGAAAAGTAAGGACTCAGGATTACAATAAGTGAATTGTCTAATTAGAAACAGTAATACAGGTATACCTCATATAACAATTCTTTGTGATGCCTTTTAATGTAACCTTAAATGTTAAAGAAAAAAAAACTACATCTGAGGAATATATTCCTCCTTCATGACCTGCATTGCACAAGAACAGGAGTTAGAAACTCTAAAAAAACTTCACACAAGTGTTTTTCACATGTTGCAGTTTCCTCAATGTAGTAAAAAATGCAGTAAAAAAAAAAAATCTTGTTTTCCCTTCCCCTTGGGGAAAAAAGCACCTTCAATGGAAAAAAAAAAATAGAAAAATAAGACTTCAGTAGTGATGTAGCTGCTTACCTCAGCAACAATCTGACTTTCTCTCAAGAGTTTCTGGGCACACAGCTCTGGTCTAAATCTAACCATACAAACTGCATTACATGCATATTTCATGAACACTTATTACTGCATCACGCATTCTGACCATTTTTCAGGAAATTTTCAAAACTTTGCTCTTTAAGATTCATCAATACTCAAAGATGTAATTAGCAAATATGAAGAGATGCAATGTATACTAGCATTAAAATGTTTCCTATAATTCAGGCTGGCACTAACAGTCATTGTTGTTATATACTTACTAAAAAGAGTTAAAACCAGAAACTGTTATAAATCTATCTCCATTAATTGTGCCGAGGTAATGGGAATTGTAAAAGAAACCAATTCATTCATTCACAGAGCACGAGTAGAGAAGGAGACGGAAATGCTGCTTGTCCTATGCTTTCTATTAACATACCTTAACCCTGTCATGGACATATTATATTTTAAAAGAGTGATGGCAGCTGAGTTTTCAAGGATTATTCATTCCTGTCAGTATGGTGGAGGTGTGGATTCAGGTGCTTAGGTTACTAGGCTAGTCTCTCTCAGACTCCGGTATGACCAAAGAGACAGACACGCTCCTCAACAGGTATTTGAAGCAAAACATTAGGTTCACTAAATCACCTTCTGCAGGAGCCGCTCACTTCCTTTATAGGAAGCAAAGCGAGATAAACATCCGAAATCAGGCACATGAAGTCACACAGTGAGGATTAGGGACAAGTTTTACCTCCTACTCCAACTGCATCTAAGCCCTTCTTAGCTATGGACTTAAACTTGTCCCACTCCTCAAGACGTCTGTTTTACATCCTTTTGTTTTACAAGAAAGTCCCATGACTGCATCGAATTCAAACTACTCTTGGTTTGTGCTTTATTTGGAAAATTAATCACCTCTGTATGACTGTCCGATAACAAGGACAGTTGCCATAATAATAAACAGCCTAATAAAGCCAAATAAGAGCCTAATAAAGCACAAACAAGTAATGTAAATTCAAGTACTAACTACTTGGCACACACTATGAAATGGAGGACATTTAAGGGGTTCAAGCTGCACCAATTTCATTGGGGAAGTACTAGAATTTCCCCAGCTCCCTTGCACACAATCCCACCTGTCCACTGAGCAGCTCCAGAGGAAACTATTTCCAACCAGACTTTCAAGCTAGTTAAAATAAATGCTTGAATGGGTAGGTAATGTTTAACATATCACTTCTGTTATGTTACGCACTGTAACCAGTAAAGGATGTGATCATCTGGCCCTTTTATGCCTGCAGTGCTGAGCTGCAATCTTGTAGCTGATAAATTACTACAGTTTTTTGATCGTTGTCTAAAGAAAATATTTTCTCGACATTACTGCAAATACATTATTTTTGTGCCAATTTTTCAGAAGACAAGTACAGCCTTTATTGCTGATGGGTTTTTACTTTAAAGGACCATGTTTAATATCACATCATCCTCTCTTCTCAGTCTTCTTTATAACAGACAGATACAGCTACTCTTCAAAGTCAACAGAACAATGGAAGAGTATAAAACTGGGATACAGCTCTGAATCTCTATCATAACAGGCTTTCTAGTGCTCCTTCCTATTTCTGGACTGAGATCCAGCCTTCAATTTAATTTTGCATATTCAAAAAAATTATTAATTGCCAGTTATTTAATTAAGTGTGGAGATACCAAGGCAAAAAAAAAATTTTTTACACCATTAATTCACTATAGCTAAGTATCTCTGTTGCATGATGCAATATTCATTTTCTGGTAAAAGGTGTTTGTGCACCTTTATGTTTGCTAGCTGTTATGTGACCTAGGTCTTTTACATATAAGTTTTTTTTTATCCAGGTTGGTTCCACCCCATTAAAGATGCTGACTGTATTTGTACAGAGAAGGGAACAGTACGGTCACCCAACTATTATTCCATGCATTGGATATTTAAGCCAATGGACTATGACATCGATACACGCCACCTAATCATACTGACCTCAGGTTATTTTTCTTTCCAGTAATTGGTGTGCTGTTTCTATTAATTTGTTTATCATTATCTTCTGCATTTGAACATAACTCCCAGTCCACAATCATGACAACTCCTTCCTTGTTTTCTGTTGACAAAGCTTTAGGAAACCTTTTATTTTAAGGAAAACTTAAAGGAATTGTTCCTGTTAAGGCCAATGACCTTGCAGACTGTTAACTTAATCTGCTGGCACTAGCAGAGCCAGCATTTGAACTCTTAATAGAGCCAGCATTTGAACTACTAAAAATGATGCCATTAATTTGTAACTTAAAGAAATCCAGAGTGCCTATGCCAAAGGTTGATAAACTTTTGAAGAAAAAAATATGTCGCAAAGACAGGACTTTACTCAGGTGTATTAACACAGATTATGACACTTTCATGATTAATTTATCATGTTTTTTCCTGAATATGTGACAGACCAACAATGGTAAAATCCTCGATAACATACAATTAGTTATGCTTTGTGTTGGCAGTCTCAAAACTCATAACCGTGAAGGTAATGTGAATTATGAAAAATACACCGTGTGCCTTTTCATGTATGCTCCACTCACACTGAAACTGCCACCTTCAGCCAACACCTAAGTCAGTAAAAGTGTTTAGAAACCCCTCCCTTTTCTAGTTGGTCCTTTCAAAGGGACCATTTCACCATCATGTTTCCAAGCCAGTGAAGACTCTAAGCGAAGTCTAATGAATGACACAGATACCAGGGGGACTTATCTCACATGGTGAGCCGTGAGAAGCTAATAAGAGAGCAGCACGAGTCCACCACTTTACCTTGGCTGCAGCAGCATGGAGAGGATGAGGCAAGTCTGACCACAGTGGGCAACATGACGCAAGTGTCCAACTTCATGTGTAGTTAAAACACCAAAGGTGAGCAGTAGCCTGGACCAGTGTTTTCTTATCTTTACATGACTCTCCCACAGCAAGGCCAGCAGAAAAAGGAAAACTTACTCTTCCGCTCTGAAATTTATAATAGGCCTGGAAGGCAGGCTTTCTCTGTGAGGGTCATCACGCTCTGTAATTTGTTCTCAACTTCGTTAAAAATAGGATGAATCTGTTAGTCATCTGAAAGCTTTTGCAACTGTTGCCCTGAGGCTACAGAAACAAGATGAAAGCAAGAATATTGGGAGAATTACATGCATCTGAGCAACTGTTTCAGGCCCTCTAAAAGCCGAAACTCAGTGGTTTACTCAGTCTTTGGCAGGATATCTCTATAGCCAAGGGGCTAGAAACACATTTCTTTCAAATGGAAGCTTGGATTCCACACAGAATGACTCTGTCATTCATGCCACATAAATAAATTCCACAGGTTGGATCTGGACTCCTGTTACTTCTCATTTATACAGTACTTTGCATAAGAATATATCAGTGCCAGTAAGAACTCTGGAGGAATTGCAAGGAAATTAATAAATGATAATTCCATCACTGAAAAGCTACCTTGGTAGGAGACCTGGTGCTGTTGGCGGAGTCATTCCGAATTCCACGTATCTCTGTCAGAAGAATGAAAAAAACCCCCAAATTAAAATCAAAATGCATACCCTGGGAAGTCCACTATCAGCCTTTTCAGTGATGAATGGCAGAGCTCACTAGGCCTGTATGTGTGACTTGATTACAACCATAAGAGCTTAGTTTTACAAACCCAGAACTACAAGATGATCTGGGAATCACTACTACAGTGGGGGAGCACTCTCTCCTGTCTGATCAGTCTTAACTTAAAACCCTTTCAAAACCAGTTTCTTTCACTTGTGGAAGATCAAGGGCTTCTCCAATGTCTGCTTAGCTTAAAACTTCCAGCAAACCAAGCTTTGCATTTGGAAATCTCTTTGTACCTCAGCAGCATCAGACTGCAGCAGAGACACCACGGTTCTCAGACTCAACAGTCCAATGGCGTTATGAAACTTGTACTGAATTATTGTGCAACTCGAGATGATCTAGAAGATTACCTGTGTGTCTTAGTACTCCATAAAATGCAAGAAATGAGACACAGAAATACTGCCTCCCTATTCCTCACCTCCTGAAAGCACTTGGATATGCTGCTGAAAAATATGACCTAAGACTAATCATTCTTTTTTTATTGTCAAAATATTCACCGGCATGTACATTTTAAAAAAAAGAAGTGAAGTCTAACTCTTGGACATAGTAAGACTTATCTGTGAAGGATCATAACTGAGAAGAACAACAACGATATCCTGAAGAAGAACTCCTGTCTTCTCCTGTGGTTGGGATAGGAAAAGAATTGAGTTCACCACCTTGTGACAGTGATTTCTGAATTCTCCTCATTCTAGAGACTGTTCCACATTTGTACTAAGTCCTGACAGCAAGGGCATGACAACAGTGACCAGGGCTCAACTGGTGCTACCTACCTAGCCAGAAAAGCCTTTTAAATTGCATCACTCACATTAAATGGGTTGTTTACTGCCTGAGTTGGACCATAAGGTGATCCCCACTGGGTGCATGTGGTTCCCCTCCCTGCTCGAGCAGGAGTGTTGTTTACCGGCTGTCCTGCAGAGACCCCGGGAGGCGTGATGGCTGTGGAATTGGCTGCTTGGCTGCTGGGAGCCACCAGTGCAAAAGCATCATCCAGCAGCGAGTGCATGGTTTGTCGAGCCTCTTCAATGGATGGCTGCGGTGGGACGTACTGTGAGACTGGGTGGGAAGGCAAACCAGGGAACTTCCCCAAATCAGCTGATGATGATGTCTGAGGTTCAGGAGGCAAGTCTGGGTCAGACTGGAGGGAAATGGAAAAAAGGTGAAGGGCAGCCACAGAGAAGAACTAACCAGCCAGAAGCCAAGCCTTTGTTGGCCTTAACTCTAAGCTATATTTTCTTTGCCAGAAGCACAATGAGATAAATGGCACAAGTGCTGGTGCTGGACAAAACCTACCCCTTACCCTCCCCACATCTGCATGCACATACATAACACCAGCTGTTGAAATACTTCATCCAGTGTGATCTGAAAGACTCTGATCTTGGACAAGGCAGTGGAGCTTTGTGCAGAAGTTACTCAGCTATAACAGAAATCTCATGGTTTGCAAGCACATAATGAAGTCATGGAAGTCATGCAGAGAGTGTTTAAAACCACCTAGAAAAATACAATCAGCTCTGTCTACATCTTTGACTTCTCTGAAGCTTTTGCAGTTCTGAGAAATTAAGATAGTCTTTAGTTTACAACTGACCACCATCAGCAGTAATATTAAACAATTATTTCCTCCTAGAAAAACACACAAGAGGAACTGCTTCACAGCAGCAATACCCAAGGCACATATCACAACTACTGCCTGGGAACTTACCACATGGGCTTGCTGCTCATCAGTAACAGGAAATTAAACGATCTTTGCAGCAGCAGACTTGATATTAAGGCTTATTCTTACCACTGCATGCAGACTGCAAAATCAGTCGTCAAGATGCAAAAGCCTCTCCTTCCTCAGGAACTTATCATTCTGAGTACTATCTCACTACAGATGCCAAAGGGGCTGAGCTTGCTGTGTGACATGTCTTAATTAAACAGCTTCAGACGATAATTCATTCTTCTGCAGCATGACATTAAAATCACCACACTCTTGTATGGAGGCACAGGGAAACCACAGAAATCGACGCTGTACTCGCCTGACTGTATATGCAGCTAATGGTAAAATACTTAAAATTATTAAACCATCTTTCAAGATGAAAACTGTCTGTAGTTTTCCAATACTGGCACTAAGCTTAGGAAAATCTGCTTAGAAGTAGTTAAAGATGCCCAAATACAGTTTGTGACATGGATATGATTGAATGGAAGCATTCTCCAGTGTCTTTGCCTTTTTCAGACAGGAAGCAAAACTATTTTCAAGACACTGCGCTAGAATCATTTCAAGTTACTGCAGTATAAAGACATGTTTCTCTTTCATTAATAATTAATTCCAACATCTTAAAGATGAGAAAATTTCTCATAAAAGGAACTGAGTCTTCCACTCTGTGAGAGCAAAGGATGAAATTTTCTGTAACATATGACTATACAACATCCAGCAAATTGGACTAGAGTAAAACTATGTTCAAGATATCGCAGAACATGCCAAGCACACTTTCATGTGCATAATACAGTGGCATTAATGAAAACAAGGTTTCGGTTCTTGGCCTCTTTACTATCAAGGAATATTTGGCAGAAATCTGCTGCTTAGCACTGACAAACTGCCAAAGAAATCCTTTGTTTCATGTTCATTTAAATGCTAACCACATGTGACTGGAACTAGCCATGTAGACTATAGTTGGAAGGCCAGAAACTCCCCAATGTCACAACTGTCATTACAATTATCAGAACATTCCTGTCATTCAAGAGACATACATACAATATATGCAGAATTATTGACTCCTGGAGGCCTTTTGTATGTCCCATCACTGTCAGTTGTGATTAACCTGTCCTTTTCTGCATCAATAGGACTTCCATTTATCTGATGTCGCCGGCGCTGCTTGGGAGAACGTTTTGCACGAGAACTTAGCAGGAAGAAAACAAAAAGCAGAGAGAGAGATATCAAAAAAACAAACAAACAAACAAAAAAAGGTAATGACATTTCTTTTTGCAATTTTTATTTCTTTTTGCAATTTTTCTTCTCATTCCACTCAAGGTTGAACTCCTCTGCTCATTCCCTCCAAGCCATCCTTGCCTCAAGCCCTACTACTCTTTTCCCTGTTTTTCAAGCCAGTCCCGTTAGTCAGCCTCAAATCTTTCTCCTCGAGCTTCTCCCAACAATACGTTCATTATGAGCTCTCCAAACTGCCCCATCCCGCCCTCAAATTCTTCCGAGTGCCACCTCCCTTCGACATTTATCTTTCAAAGTTGTCTGTGCTTCAGTCCTGCACCACTGCCTCTCCAGACCCCCCAGACCAATGCCTGACACACTTGCAGGACACACCACACTGCCAACAAGGTTTTGTGCTTGGCACATTGGGCTTAACCCTACCAGGCAAACCAGCTGAGGAATCCAGGTAGCTGGACAAAAGCTACTTCCGATCACTGTGGAAGCAGTGACAGGGTACCAGTGCTCTGGGAACAAAGTGTCAGTATTCATAAGCCCTAAATAGAGCCCAGGGAAGACTTCTGCTGGAAACACAAGGCCAAGAAGGTAGATCTGTGAGGCTGACAAATGTGAGTCATTACCCAGAGGGGAAAACCATATCTCATTGATTTGCAAATTTGCCTTTAAAATTCAGAATCTTCATGCTTTTTAAGTTGTTCACGGGTTTCCTTATTTTGCATGTTTCCCCATCTTTCTGAAAATATTACTTCTTGCAGCTTATAATTTCTGTATCGTTTTTAGTGCTTATATTTCAAGTTTGATCCCTCTATACCATAAAAGATTTTTTAAAACGAATGCAAGCAAATACTAAATTGTTTTAAGACAGTTTTCATACATTTGGGTTTATTTATCAAGAGCTCACTACTGAGAACTTTTAAAGGAATAATCTGAAAACAAAAACATACTGGTAAATACCAAAATAAATAAAAACGTTTACAACAACCCAAACCTTTTCACCTAGATAACTCAAATTCAACTAGTGATCAAAATGCTTTTAAGCTCTGAGAGTTCCAAAGTTCCAAATTTTGATGTACTTTGGACACTGACTCAAAAAGAGAATTGTGGTTTTCCATTTTTGAAATCCCTACCTCTTTCTGGGCTCTATGAAGACAGTAGGCACACTGCCTCCAGGGTCCAAGATCTTGTCAATCTGCATCTGTGCCTTGCGATATATTCTGTGCTGTTCTTTGGAGTCAACCACCACCACATCATCCACCACCGGAAATTCATAGTGCCCTTTGCGCTTGGCACGAAGACGAATCTTATTGCGGTGATGCTCAATCTCAGATTTATGCCTCAGGGCTGTTTGTATCTTAAAGAAGAGGGGGGAAAAAAGTCAATCGCATTTTTCATCTCTAATTTTTGCAAACAGAACTTTTTGCTGCTCTTCTGTAAACCTCTCCTCCTCCCCTCCTTGACTGCCCCTACTTCCCTCCTCCATCAAATCTCTGAAGGAATAAAATAAGTCATGCAATTTGTAAACACGCTTTGGTTCTTGGATATTTTGCAGTATTCCCTTCGTCTCCTCAGGCAGATGTACTATTATACACAACAGAATTCCCTGCACAGCAGGTACAATTAGAGACACATGGCAGTTTGTTAACAAAAGGCAGGAGGAACACAACAAACTCCTGTTGTCTTCCAGAAGTGACATTGCTCTGAAAAAACCAAGACTAATCAGTATAGGTTATATCTACCTTTTCTTATTAAACAGAGATACATTTGATCTACAGTGTTGAAGTCCATCACCCATTCCCTTTAATGACCTTCGTCACATAAGAAGCAAGAACTTAAATGTTAATTGAGCTCGTAACTCGGTGCCTCTGCTGAGCACGAGAAGCCACCATAAGCTATGCAGAAACGTAGCAGCAATACAAGGGCCCAGGTTCCTAGATGAACATGGTGTGATCAGCTCTATGTCTTCTTGCAGGCTGAGTTTTCATGCCTTTTTTTCAAATTCCCATGATCTGGGGAAAACTATCTTACCACCACACTTTTAACTCCTGGCCATTGGGACTCACTGAAATTATTCTTATCAATGGAAAACAGTTGGGCACCAGATCAAGTATGCTCTGCCTGCGCTGGACTAATTCTAGAACACATCTGCAGCAGTGAATTAGAAACAAAATAACGTGATTTTTGTGTCTTCTTTCATGAAAATCCCCCAAAAGCATAAAAAGGACACGAACCAGACTTACTCTTTAAATTTATACTTATGTTGCCTGCGCGGATAATCAGATTTCTGTTTTGTGGCCTCTCTTGCCTATGTATGCTAGATATATGTATTTACCTCTCTTCCATAAGGTACTCAGAAACACAGTATCTTAACACAGTTAAAGGTTCCAGTAAACTTCCACTCAAAATAAAGAGAAGATACCATCTTACACCAAGTACAAAACCAGGATGCAGTCTGTGGTACTGTCAGACAGTGCACAATGTGGTTTTACAGTGTATACCTTTCCTTTTAATGCCCCAGGTCTGCTCATATTCTGCTTACAGTAACCTGAGCCTCAGAGAAAGCAGGAAGTTTCTGTATGTTTACCGTCAGATAAACACATCCAACGTTGGAAGCAATAAATGTGCAGCAAATTCACAACCCAGAATGTCTTGAGATAATGTGTTTGTACAACCCACATCCTGAGCTGCTGAAAAGTCAAAAGAACAGTGTAGAATGAAAAACAAGGGGGCCCAGACATTCCAATTCTCACATATCAATTAACACAACTCTCGTAAGTCACATCCTGATAACTAGCAAAAGGATGGTAACACAAGGTACCCTGACTATCAAATTTGTTCCTCTCTCTGTGTTTAAGTTTTGATTCAGGTGTCTCTTAAAAATAGATCAGATTATCTCTCTGGATGGAAACAAGATTACTCCTGCGGCTTGTCAAAATTCAGCTTCTCAGGAACTAACAAGGAACCCCTGATAACAAGAAACTGGATACTTTTCACTTTCCTCTTGGCTGGGCTTACAGTCCTTCACAAACCCTCAAAGCACTTTGAAAATACCTCTTTATTAATTTTGTTGGTCTCTGCTACTCGATCAGAAAGTACTGAGTTCTGAACAGGAGGTGCTGCCATCGGTTGCATAGCAATTAGCTGGATCTTGCTCGGGACCCTTCTGCTGGCATCTGAGGAACGTGACATCCTATCCACATGTTCGAAGATAGAGGCTGAGGAGTGCTGCTCGTTTCCACTGCTGGTCTGCGGAGGTCCTAAATCACCAGAACAAATACAGAGTAAAGTAGTGCTGCTAGGGTTACCTCAGTCAAATGTTAAGCTCTACAGATGTTGTACTACAAGACTACGCCATGATTCCCATCTGTGTCTAATTTGCCCTATAGGCCTTCCAGCTGATTCATATTTAGCATACAACAAGTTTAACCAGTGGTTTGCAAATTATAAACATTTTCCTATTATGTTTCCAGAATGTGAGCTGTCATTCTTTATTTCTGTAAATCAAGCTCTTGGCATTTGCAAATCCCCAAAATCTCAATCTACTTTTCTCCATAAAAAGTTGTTCAAGTACATACATGGTTCCTCTTATCAGTACTTAAGGGCATGTAAACTCCTCAGAGGTTCAGAGAGCAATAAAATAGGAGTGATATATTTATATGAACCAACCAAGAAACCCCTTAGAAATCCACACAAAACACAAAGAATTTTACAGATATTTTACAAATTAAAGTTTTTAAAGCACTGTTTTCTTCTCTGTGACAGGATGAACAATTAACACAGTAATAATCAAGCTGCACAAATATTTCCCTGTTGTAATTTGTTTAGGAACTCAAATACAATCAGTAAAAGACATAATGGAAACCAATATACATGAAAGTTGCCACCCTGGTCCTGTCAGCAGTTAATCCCTTCAAGACAAATGGGTCAACTCCCTCAAAAGACTTGAAATCTTTAGGATCACTCCAGTGGTTTGCAGTTAAGAACATACCTAAGTATTTTTTACTGAAGCTAGGCCTACAACAGGAACAGTTATATGGAAAAACTACTGAAGACTTGCAAAATATCTTTTGTCTTTTCCACATGGTAACACCAGAAATTCTCAAACTGGTTTTCACCATGAAATATAAGCAGTAAGAGATTGAGATTCTCGAGCTTTCTTACGGAGCAACACGACAGAGGGATGTAGTCCCACATCTTTGCACAGACTTCTGGTAATAGGCTAAGGTTCTCAGATTCAAATCAGAAGTAGAATCTGATTTGATTCCAATACAGAATCAATTCTTGATCAACCTAACAGACAAGAAAACAGCTACTGCTCTGATCCATTTGCAATACATGTTGGTTATGAAGTATATGGATCAGAAGAGGAGCAAATGCTATCTGTTGTAGATGACAGCAGGTGACTTGCTCCTTGTACCACAAAAAGGGAGCAGGAGAGGGAAGGAATGGTACAGTTTATTATATTCACAGTAAAATACTTTTGGGCTGGAAAGCAATATGGCAACAAGTTGAGCAAAATTCTTATTTTTGTTATTTCTCAAACCTGATCAATGCACTGTCAAAATTTACACGTTTATAAATGTTATGCATCATTTATAAATATGACTTTCCTATATAAGTATCCTTATAAAGAAGGCAAACAGTTCAATTCAATATCTTTGTAAAACACAGACCCTAAAGGAAATGTATCTATCTTTTCTGTAACTATTTATATGATTTTTACCACATCTTCTTCACAGCCCCATCTCCATGCATTTCTTAGAAGCATGCAAGCATTGCCTCTCAGAGAGTGGCACATAAATCCCTCAGAGTGATCCTGTATCACAACTGAAATCTGAACTTTTGCATCCATCTTTCCCATTTTCCCCTTTACACTACTATTTTTTTCCAACCTTTCCAGTATAACAGCAGCTATCAAAGCTCACTGACCTCCAACATAAAAATATAAGATAATTTTCACATTACGTAGTTACCAATGTCCACTATACTGAATTATGCTGAGCATTCACTCTGAATCTTAACAATTTCATCAATAACCTTTTTTTTTTTGCACACCTAAACAAGTGCTTGGAAGAGGCCTCTTAACTGAAACCCTTCTTAAACTCATTTTGTAAAACATCAAAAGTCCCACTGTTAAATTCCAGTAAGGCTCTACAGTAACGTCATATGTTACTCTCTTTTGCAAAAACACGCACAACGTCCTCCCTCCCTAAGCTGCATTTGACCTTTACATTCTATCTGTGTGCACATACTGAATGTGTCTATCAATACAAACCAAGATGGAAGTATAGTAAGGTAGATACGAAAGCCAGGGACTGGACAGTGCTGTACACATACAAGAAATGGAGAAATGGTTTCAAACTCAACACATGAATCAGCAGCTTTAGAAATTTTGATAGAGTGAATAAGAACAGTTTCTCATATGGAAGTTCTTATATTACACTATTGTCCATGGTTAGAAAAATCTTCCTTACAAAGCTATCAGATGGCGCTATATGAATTAAATTTTGACTTCAGACTAGACAGCTGGTGCTGAAAAATAATGGAAAGAAATTAATACCCAAATACTGGGCAGAACATGTTTAAACAAACAGTCCATATAGGTCACATGTCAGGATCAATGTTTATCACTGTTCCCTGGGTTGAAACTACTATATTAACTGAAACATCAGGAAAATAAGCTGTTCTGCAGGAAGCTCTGATTTCATATAAAACCCAATATAGTTGAAGAAAGAGGAAGGCTATTGCTTCCTCTTGAAATAAAAACACGACATAAACTGATCAAGGTGCATAAAGTCAATCCACAATCAGGTAAAGTCAACAGGAATCTTCCACTGATCCATCAGTATTTGAATCATGCCAGAGTATGCAGTTTCAGATAAATTTCACACAGTTTCTTTGTATCCTGGTAAATTATGTCTCTAGAACGCAGCTGATGACTCCTATTACTTACTTGTACAAACCCAACAAGAGAATGCATCAGAGCCAGCCTTATATCCATCCTTCTCTACTATTATAAGACGCAAACTGCTATCAGAGGACTCAGTCCTTAATTTATCACTGGATATGGTATGCATTATCAAAGACACTGTCAGCTTTCTCCTGCCCCATCTTTGCTATGTCTCAGTCCTGACCAGCAAAACCCTAGTTCATTAGAAAATATTTGTGCTTCTTTGCAGGTAGGTTGGTTTGTCTCAGGCTTCTAGTATAGACAGTAATTCTAACAATGTCTCTAACTTGTTTATACAAAGCCAGTTTCAGGACCAACAGCTGCCTCAGTTTAGCTTCTTTCACAGTAATGTTTTCCATGATTTGAAAGAATTGGGAGGAAATTAGAAAAACATGCCTAAATTGGATGACTATAATTTGTATTCCTGAGATTTTTTTGTATTTCAATAGCTCGAAAGCAATTTTGCTTTTTAGACTCAGAAGACAAATCTTTCCATCCTTAAGATATAATTGCACTACCCCAGCAACTCTATATTCATATTTGTACTAAACTACCAGCTCTAGTTACTTACCCACTCTGTTTGCTCCTGACAACATAAAGAAAAAAGAAGAGACAACACAATAATTATTACGAATAGTTCAGCTGGAATGGCAACTAACAAAAAACCCCAAACAACTTCAAAACAGTAAGATGATTGCATTTACTTCTGAATAAAATGCATGAACTTGGATCAAACTGCCAAGCCTCAGCTGCACAAAAAGGGAGATGAATCTGCCATTTAACAGAGAGCTCTTTGCAGAGAGCGCCTCCAATTCTGAATGCTAAAAATAGTCCCTATGATTACCAAACTAGAGGCACTAAGTGCTGAAAAAAAGTATATTTGAACTAGTAAGGGCATGACAGGTAAAAAGGACATATTTTACATAATATCCTTGCTGCCTTTGTCAGATGCTTTAGGTGCAGCAATACCTAAGACTTTCACATCAAATGAAAAACCCTCACACCAAAAGGAAAAACCTTACATGGAAATTTTAAGCCAGATGGAAAATCAAGAGACAAAAATTGGATTTCCTGGGTAAGAAGCAGGAGAGCACTAAATCAGGGCAAGAGAATTGAAGTCAGATAGGTTAGAGCAACTCATAAACCATCCTGAGATGAGCTCTGTCATAGCTTAATTTTTTCCTATGTATTTACTTGGGTATGACCTCTGGTCCTTAGAGCAAACCTAAGACACTGAAAACATATAAAGCATCAGTACAGTACCTTCTTTTTGTAAACTACATAAAGTATATATAGCATCCACTGCCTGCTGTGTTGTTAGAAAGTATAACTTCTTACTCACATTAGAGGATTCTGTGCTTTGTTTTCTTACGTGTTCGTTAAAAAGGAAAGCTTGCTCCACTATCCTTGCTCTTTCAGGAGCAGTCCACATTATGGAAGTTTCAGAGTCACACATTACTCAACTTGTGGTTCAGCCACCCAAGAGCTAGCCATTTATATAAACTATCTTACATACTCCTCGATCTTATTTCTTCAACCTAAGTAAAACCTGAAGGTTGTCTGCTATGATCTGAATTTCCCTGGCACTACATTCCTCAGCAGTTGTCTTTCCATCTCACTGGTATTTCAGGGAGTACGTGGGAAAACATTCAAAATACCAATGAGTGCTCACAATGTGGTCACTATTTTTTATTTCTCAGTTTCTGTTGCTGTCAAGGCCATGTGTATTAAGAACAGATGGGGATATCACAAACTCCTTTACCAGATATTCAGTATCAGAGCTTTCTTTAGGAAGACTAAGATCTGGTAGCTAAAACCTCAAGCAAGGAGGCAAGCCATCTAAACTCAAAAGGCTCTCAAGAAACACACTCACTGTTTGTGTTGGCACGGGTAACCATTCACTTTTAAATGGGAAAAGAATTTAAAAGAATGATAAGTGTTTTATCAACTTTTCAGTGAGGAAAGAAAAAACTCTTAGGGTGCCTCCAAAACAAGACAAGTGGTGGCACTTTAACTGGAAGATGGTTCTTTATGAAAAAGAATCACTGTTATTGATGTATTACCACAGGAATTTCACCTTTCTAAAGCACAATTATGAAGCCATTTTAATGTCTGAATTAGAATTTCTTTATAAATTTTTTATTTCTCTGGTCTCCTTTTCTTAATCTCACTTTTTTGTAGTTACAGGCACATACCTATGCTTCATCAAGGCCTGCTGTGATCTCTACTGCCCATGTAACTGTCTGCAAGATCACTGCCATGAGAGCCACAACCAGGCCTAAATGGAAAGAGGTTTGCCAGAGGTGTGTGGGAGAGAAAAGGAGGGAAGATTAATTCCTGCTAAGCCATTAGTTTCAAAAGCTTGCTGGAATGAAAGGAATGTGTAGATCTTCAGTATCAACGGAAGAAATTAAATGAAAATGGAAGAAATTAAACCAAAAAGGAGAGGAAGAAAATTCTCCGTGACACAAACCAGAAAAAATTGCAGCCAAAGATGAGTTTAGAAAAGTTACTGTGCTAGATTAACTCTTCAACCTGAGTAAAACACTGCTAGTGCACACAAGAAAAGTGAAAAAAGCTACAAACCCTTCTTCACTGCTCTGCGTGGCTTGCCCTCGTTTGCAACAGTCGATGGTCTTGCAGTTTCCTCTCCTGTCTCCCTTCCGCTGGATTGTTCACTTGCTGTGGAGTCAGCATCTGATGGTGAAACTCTGCCACAAACATTAAAAAACAAACAAACCAATACATAACAGTAGTTTGCAATGGGGCACAGTTCTCACTCAAAAAGAATCCTGTGTCAAAGTATCTTGTGAAGACTGTTAATGTTTTCCTCTGTTTATAAGTAAATTTGTAATAAATTATCATAGTTATTCGTTGCCATAATGCTACTGTTGCCGCATGTGAAAACTGACTGCAACAGGATTCACATGTGACAAGATTATTAACTAATCCTTCCTTTAAAATACACTTCAAGAAGAAACTCCGCAGTCATGAGTAGCAGTTTACTTTTCAGATAGAAAAGCATTTTATCATAAGAAACTCGTACAGGCAATTAGTTTAATATCTAGACGTGCTAACTTGGTGTTCTTTTGCTAACACTACAAGTTCACGTTTTCCTGACTAGTTAAACGTAGGGCCATTCAGAAATGCTACTTTTATGTATTTATCCCATGCAGTCATGAGATTTTACAAAACAATTATTACCTACAAATTAGAACTCCATAATTTTTGTGGGCAACTACAGAAAAATACAAAGAAACACTGCGACCTTCCCCAACAGAATACTTCAGCTGTAAAAATATTCAGATAGCATAAAACCAGGAAAAATATAGGGCATACGCTACCGCCCAGCTGACACCAAAGCCTGTCTTTTCACATGGGGTCAGCCTCTATGATAGTGTCTCTAGTGACCATCCTATCTTGCGAACACTCATATTTTATTCCCGCAGGGAGTTAATTACTAAAAGTGTGCACGTGCCTGTGCATTAACCTTGTTAACAGCGTGAGTTTTGCTTGGGATAGATGGGTATCCGAACTAGTTACTGAGGCTCTTGGCCAAACAACAAGCTGCCTACAGAACACAGACTAAGATAATTGCGCCCAGCCAGACAACTCCATTGGAAGTTAAACCTACTCCTTGCAGCAGCTCTTGCTCACAATTCAACTCCCCTTTTTCTCCTCTCTGAACAATGTTAATTGAACACTGTTAATTGAACTCTGTCTTTCATTCTTTTCTACAGGACTGAAGTACTAATAAGTTGCAACCCTAATAAAAAAAAAATATAATTAGCAAGGAGAAGGGAAAATAGTTCTCAATGAGCTTACAGATCTGCACTGTTCCATCTTTTCCTCTTTTCTAAGGTGAAGAAGGTGGGCAGAGCTATCGCCTCCATCACCTTTGTCTTGGTTCAGAGTACAAGGCTGGAGTTCTGTTCACAGATCTGCTACTGACTTTGTTTTTTTTTTTCATTGTGCTTTGTATTCCTTCATACTCTTCCCTCAGTCTATCTAAATTATCATTAAGTAAATTATAGGAACCTAAAGAGTGCTGAGTCACCATCAGTCTTTCGTTCTAAGTGCGGAGGAACATGCAACTGTATCCTCTCAAGCCAAAACAAGTCCAGCCCTCAGCTGGAGCCTAGAGATGCCACACTGTCTGAACTCAGCTGTTTTAATTTCTTGTTGTTTTTTACAGATACAGAACCAGTACACCACTACATTTCCTGGCATGCAACATACAATCCTGAAATGCACTGTGATGAACTGAGTTCTGTATTTCCTCACAAAACAGAAAACAGCTAAAACCAACATAACACACTATGCTATCATTTCACATTTCAACTTCTGCCTCAGGGAATAAATGCTTTAAAACTCAAGCTGACGTGGGCATGTCAGCATGTTAGGGAGATGATAGCAACATCTCCACAGTTAAGCCTAAAGGGAGATTTGCTCTTAAGGGAGGATGAGGGAGAGGAGGAAAATTCTCTTTTGAAAACATTCTGAAGTGTTTAATTTAAAGATGTTATTAAAAAAAAAAAAGCATCTTTGTTCCAAATTTGATCAATGATTCATTACTGTCTTCAGGGTATGCATTAAAATGCTGGCTTCTGAAAATTTTTCCTGCTTCATTTTCTGAATTATTGTAGATGAAATACAGTAACAGCTAAATTTCCTTCTCATAATTACATGCATATGAATAAAGTTACCTTTCCCTCCCCATAAATATCATCTCTGTCTTAGACTGCTTTTGAACTTTTCAAAAAGAAACACAGAAATGGTTGTTATTCTGATTTATATTAACTTGTTTTAATTTATTTAAGCCACACCAAAAAAGAGTTAGCTAGTTTTTCTTCCATTATTTTCCGATTTCGCCCACCTTCCACTGTAGCATTGGTAGTTTAGTACTTGCAAGGCCCACAGAGAGTTAGGAAGACAGGCTCAGCATCTGGGAAGGTGGGAACTGAGCTGTATAAAGCGCATGTGGGAAAGGTGAAGCAAGAATCTTAAGCCAACTGAGGCTTTGGAGGAAGAATTCCTCCAAATTCCTTGCTCCTCAGCAGAGGAGCAAGCTGTGTTACAGAGACCTGCAGCTCAGGAATAACCACCAGCAGTTTCTTTCTAAGCTTGTTCCACTCTGTCCTCAGTTGTATTTTTTTTTTCTCCCACCATGCAACAGCACATAGTTAAAAGCACAGGAGATGCAGAGCTGAAGACAAAGGAGCACAAAAATATGAGGGGGAGATAGAGGGAGAAGAATCACTGGAAACTGGAACACAGAGGGGTCTGCAATGAGGAGTTGTTTGTGACTAATCATAGGCTCTCCTCAGGGCTTTAGTTTTTTCCCCACATCACCCTTCCACTTATCCTTTTTTCTTTTTTTTTTTTTTTTTAATGCACAGATCCTTCTTTACTGCATGTCTCTGTTACAGGGCCTGTCTTACAAACACAATCCTTTCCAGCCACACACATTCAGATAATTTGATTATTGGAAAAGATTAGGAAATAACTGCTGAAGGTTGACAGGCACTTCTCCACTTGCACAGCTGTAAATTATCACTTCTTTGACTGATAAAAGTTGGTTTACTATGAGAGCAACCAGATAATGATAAATAAAACCACTTACGCATCTTCTCTCAATTTTGGAGATACTGCTTGTTTCTGGAAGTTCCAACTTATCATCCATTTATTGATAACTATTAATATAATTGAAACATGCTGGTATTTGTCAATAATTTTCATTTATTTTTAACCATCCATTGCCTTAGTAGCTAGATATCATTACAAAGAGAATCCATCAGAAAACATACACTTGGTGTTTCCACTAAACAAGCAATGACTCTTCTTAACTACGTATGTTGCTTTTAAGAGAAAAATGGCCACTAAATTCTCACAACCTTGTACTAATGAGTAGCAAGGCATAACTCTGACAATCCACTAGAAAACACAAGTTCTAGGGCTCTGAAATGGTTCTTCCAACAAAAATTGCTCTAAAGATACAGTATTTGCCAGGCATTAATAAACTGTCATCTACTACAATCGGTTTTATCTCTGTGAACTGACCTTCCTCGGTGTCGAACGGTCTTTGAAGGTTTTGAGGAAGTCTTGGATTTGGGGCTCGGCACATCTCCATTTTCAGATGGGGTAGTATCCTTAATAGGTCCTGGTAAAGGAGCTGGCTCATGGATAATCAGGACATCGTCTTTATTGTGCTGGCCTAGGTGCTGCTTAGCAAAATCAAAGCCTTTCACACTGGGAGCTTGTAGCTGTGAGAGAAGAACAAGACAAAAACCAGGAATCTTGAGTGACAGTGAGTACAAAGGATTTGATTGAGATCTGCAAACAATGGCAACTAGGAGGATGATCAGGCTTCGGTAGTCTCAAGAATGAACGTGAAAGCTACAGGGAAAAGAAAAATAAACCCCCCACAATTCTGTAATCTTACTTCAGTTTATGTTACACAGTTTAAAACTCCAAATCAACAAATGTACCTAAAAAGCCAGCCTTCTGTTGCTGCTACATCTTTTTCCAGCTATTTCTTAGACTTAGTCATCGTGTGAAGAGCTTCTTATGTAGTTGTGGGTGCAAAGACCATAGACATCTGTGTACTAACTAAAATGCTTACTGCTGCGAGGTCATCTCTCCATTTCTTTCCATCAAAATGAGTGAAGTGAGTTTAAATAATTTTTACAGTGTGATTTATGATCTTCCTCATTTTGAGCTCCCCAAATCTGCAGGAGTCTGGAAGACCTTGTACAAACACCTAGTTCATCTGATGAAAGACAAACATTCTGCAGATTTGCATTAGAGGGCAGCCTGCAATGATTTTTCAGCCAGCATGGATGCCTCCAGAAAATAACTGAAAATCTAGCCCATAGGAATTTCATACTGAATAGACAGAAAAATGTATAAAAGGCTTTGGACTTCAGAGAAATTAGATACTTATCCTAGAGATCACATTAAGGGATTATGGATTCAATGGATGTCTCGCATGAGAAAGACAGAGAACTGGGCCTTTCATTTTCATAACTGTAAGTATAAAAAAAGCTAATCTCACCTTGTCAATGACTTGATTCAGACTTAATTTAATCAAACCTCCACATTTCATGCTCTCCTGCTGGTTTTTTTTGGGCTTTGGAGTAATTAGAAAATCTGGAGAACTAATCAAGACAAAGGTTTTCTTCAAGACCTGCGCAATTTTATGTAGTTTAGAAGTTGAAAGTAGAAAGAAACGTTGACAATTCCAGTTTTCAACATGCACACACATACACCCAGTGCACAGCACAAGCACAAAACCCTCTGTGTGTTCCTAGAGCTGATTTCCTGCAAAGCGAAGCATGTGTTGGAGTGCGTTTATGGGTGCGTCAGGTTCCAGATGTTTAAATGAGCCCCCTTTCATAAAGCTTGGCATGCCAACATAGCGAACTACAAACAGACTCGTCTGATACCCTGCCAAAGATAAGCTTGCCTAAGGAATATTCTGAAACAATCTCTTCAAAATATTTTCTCAGTAAGCAAACATTTTCCAAATGGTTCTTAGAAAGGGTGTCCTAGTAGAGCAAACTGCCTATTTAGACCAGTAGATGGCAATAAAAGCTCTCCTGTAAAATTCAACTTAATGAGTGAGGTTCTGAAGTTCACTTCTCACAAAATGAGTATGCATATTAACAGAACAGATCTGGATCTATTCCACTTAATTTTTCTTGGGCTTTACAACAGTCCCTTTAATTGAGCATTATGGGTGATGCTATTACTGAATTTATGTAAATGACTGTAATCAGTGATTCAAAAAGGCACTGTTGAGCTAGATCAGGTGAAGATGTAACTGTTTCTCTATGTTGTAAGCCATAGCCATTGAGTAAACTCTTTCTGAAACTTCTCCCCACTTTTAGATTTGAAGCACTGTCTTCAGGAACTTGCTTGCTTAAAAAACCACGACTAAACTACATGTTCCCCCCCCCCCCCAAATAATTTGGAGGAAGAACTTTTCACTTCTGCTGTCAGAATTGCCTGCAGAATTTTGTTACAAAACCATAAATTCAGTTCTTCCATTGAAACCCTCTTGCTCTTTCCCACCCTCCAAGATTGCCAGCTTGCAGCTTAGTTACCTCACCTCTCCACCTCTGATCTGTTTGACATTATGTCTATGCTCTTTGAAGACACACCTGTGTGCAACAACCATCCGTTGAACCGCCTTCAGCAAGTTTCCCTTCTTCTAAACATTTCATATTCCACCCTCGTGCCTATATAGCCAAACTGCTGATCCCTGATGATCACTGCCTCTATTTCACTACATTCCCCTCCATTGTCTTCAGTCACCTTTGCTCCAAAGATCATCAGAGTCTTCACCATGTGCTGGACACAATCCTTTCTCAAAAAAACTGGTGATGCTCTACCCTTTCCTAAGCACCCTTGACTTGACCTGCAAAATTACTACTGATTCTTGAACAGTGTGATGGGTGGGATGGGCCAGGACAACTGAAGAGACAAACATTCTAGTAATACTGGAATTACTAGTATGGTTTTATTAAGATCGCTGCATGTCTGAAGTATGCATTTCCACATACCTTAAAGTTAACTCTGGCACATTGGGTTTGTAACCCCTCTGGGGAGTAAAGCAACATGCAAAAATGTGCAAAAATGTGAGTTTTCAATCTTTTAATGTTGAATAGTCTTATTCCTAGCTTCAGTCTAACACAACCTTTCGTCTATGCACAGTTAAGGGAACAGATAAATTTATGTGAACACCACAGCATATGCATGTACAAATGTTTATCTGCAGGCAGACCACACAGAAGCTGAATTAAGACTGTTAGCATTGTGAAGACAAGCACTCATAGTGTAAGAAATGGCACAGCTACGATTGTCTGAACAATCACAACTGGATCCCCTCATGTACAGCCAGTGCAATAGATTCTTGTGTTTCAAAACCATAAATTCAATTCTTCCACTGAAATCCTCTTGCCCTCTTCCACCCTCCTAGATCCATGGCATAGCCTGGGCCTTCTGCTATGAGTCCAAGTAGAGTAGAATGTAAGAATGTTATTTGTAGAACTAGGATACCCACCTCATTTCATGCAGAAGCTAAGAAACATGTGGTGAAAGAAGTGGATGTAAGAAGAGAAAGGATGTGTTCTTTTATGCACCTTTGCAGTGAGGGTGCTTGAGGCTTTGCCAATGGATCTCATGGACACTTGCTGGCAAGAGAAGACTGGCAAGTCTCAAGTATCACCATCCCAGGCCTCCAGAAGCACTCACTGCAGACACTACAGAATTTGTGGCTCTATTTCCCTGAAGTTACAGCCAGGTAAACTCCTCAACTGGTCTTACTCCTCACCAGGCAGAACAAGTCCCTCCATCCTGCCCTCTTGCCTCTCTGTCCCTCAGCTGCCTGTTCCAGTGCACATTAGCAAGAAGCTGAGGCTCACTACTGCTTATTCCTTTACCTGGCCTCATATCTGTGTACAGAGAAAAAAACAAACTCTCAGCTTTTAAGCTTATATGCACAGAACATATAAATTTTATGAAAATTCAACTGGTAAACCTCTATCAAGTCTCTGTCAGCTCCATGCAAATATTTTCCCAAAGGTTTAAAATGCAGACATGGGAATTCCTGAAAGAATCAGCAAAAGCATTTTGCTCACATGAAAAAACATTCTGGTCCTACTTCCTTGCCTTTCCCCATCCTGCACCCCAAAGGCTGAGAACATGCACTAGAGCTTCTAGGCACAATTTTTAAAATTTGGACAGAGCACTCTGCTTTCTTTTAACTTTGTTCTTTGAAAGAAAAAGCTGTTCTTATCATCTTAAAAAAGATCCGGTACGAAACTGATACTTGAATGGAAAACTTCAGCCTGAAAGATTGAAGTCTTGCAGAGTTCTATACAGCTAAATAATATTTCCAGATATCTCCTGCTAAAAAAAGCTTAAGTTGGCACCACCAGCTCCAGTCAATATATGAACAGTATAAGACTATGCACATATATGCATGCTCATGATAGAAGAATATATTGTGAAAATAAAGATATATAAAACATGCCTGACTGAATATGAAAATATGGTCCTCCATGAAAAAAACTTATCAAATGACTTATTAAAAATAATACCCATTATTTGAGAAACAGAAATACTAATACATTACTATGGTAGAAACAGCGTGGACAGAAATCCACTTAATTTTCTTAAAAAAAAACAACCAAAAAGGTCTACACTTCTGATACCTCACCTCTTAAGACTATGGTAACATTATGTCTTTAACTAAGAACTGATGCTAACTAAAATTTATGTTTTCCGTGAAAAGTGTCTAAAGGACACTGGAACACAACTCTGCTTTCTGCAGGAGTAGATAGATCACTGAGACTCAGTGTAAAGAACAAATAATGTTGCTCCATTGTAGAGGTTTCCTACATTTTCTTACAAATTTCTGTGTGCCACCTGCTACATTCTTCCTTTTCTTTATATCAAGTTATATCACGCAACAGATTAAATGACCTCTCTCCTCTTAGGACAGGTAATCAGAATACCATGAGAGGATCAGTCACCTACTACTCATAAATTAACCACCACCCAGAACATAATACAATCTCTTTTTAAGAGCACATCTGTGCTGATACCTGCTCAGGTGCTGAAACTAAGCCTCATTTTATTAGTCTCTAGCACCTTTACCTAGGACTGCATAAAATCAGTATCAGCAAAGATTTGTTTTAAATATAAGTTGTTAGAGAAGGTTTTCATTTGTTTTTATAGTTTTGTGAAAGGGAAAAGATAGACTACTCTGAAGTTTACCACTAAGATGAACATGTCTACACTACCTGCATAATAATATAATGCCTTATGAATACAAATGCAGAACCTGCTGAAATCTAAGAGGAAGATGATTTCAAAATGGTAAATCTGGACAGTGCTTTAATTCTATTGTTACATGCTGAATAATAAAAAAAAAAGTAATTGAAGCTCAATTCATAGAAAAAAATCAAATAATTTCTGCAGAAGCTTGCAAAATCTGTGCACTTCGGTCAAGATTATTCCAGGAAAGCACATAATAGTTTCAATACTGTTCAAATCACAGAAATATAACATGGTTGCCAATATATTGTTTTGCTAGATACAGAGACACACCAGGAATGAATGTCAACAATCTGGTTTCTCAAGAAAGCAAATACTGCACACACAGGTCAGTGTGTAATTTCAGCAGAAAGCAGAAGGTAAGAAACACACTTACTCAGTATTCTTCCTGTAGTTCATACAAATGGCGTTTGCATTTGGA